ATGTTTGGATGTTAAAAATTTGGTAAGTCATTTTAGTAATTCACATAAGTTTGGAACACTTCAAAATCAGCAGAAATTTATAAGTCCTTTACAACTACAAAACTGTCAATATCATGACATATGTCTGTCGAGGATCAGATAGACAAGCTTCCTTGTAAAAGTCATACACAGTGTATATTCAGTAGTTTATTCAGTTTTGAAAGTGATATCCTGAAAAGAATTTGAAATTTGAGATAACCCTCTACCATCCTGTGTTTTTTTTTTTTTTTTGTTTATCAGTTTCTAGGCCAAATGTTGTTTTTGACCTACCAATATCCATATGATGTCTTGTGTTACATGCAAGTAATGACTTAGTTTTGATGAGCTTACAGAAGACTGTCTTGCTTAAAAAATTTTTTTCATAAGATTGCACATATAATTAGTGATATTTAGCTGTACCAAATCATGGTTGCCACTGGTACAAGACCACTTCACTGGTTGTTTAGCCTTTGAGCTGTTTCAAATATTGTTGTTTTTGTGTTGGCCTAATTTTGTGCAATGATATGTCAAAGTATACATTTTCAAAAAAATCAAAACAAAATTATCCTGAATCTCTTTATAGCAAAACTGTAATTCTGATTTAGTATAGATCACTTTTTTAGAAGCCATTTTTATTGAATGTTTTTTATTTGATTTTAGCCAATCTTTATCAACACTATGAAGAGAGAATTTGCAAAACAACACCTTTTTATGTTAAACATAAAAATGATCAAGAATTTATTCTACCATCACTTTAGCACCACTTTTGAATATTGGTGTTATCCATCTTTTGAAGAGAGCATGTCCAGCTTTTAAGGCTAAAGTCATAGATCATAAGGTCTACACTGACTAGATTGATCCATCTTGGCAACGTATTACTTATTCATATCAAAAACACAAGTACTTTAGATACTACAAAAATAAAAACAAATAAAATTTATACCAAATATCAAAGTGCATTTAGAGAAATAATACTGAATACATTAAAGTTTAAAAGTTTTTATAATGATGATGATGCAATTCTAAATCTGTTTGAGAAAAGGGGACTATATAAGACACTGGTTACCTTTTATAACTGGTGAGTTGGGGACCAATGATAGTTTATTGATAAAGTAGGCATGGGAGGATAAACAAATCAGGTAACAGATATTGGTATAGACATTAGAAAACATAGATGAAAATGAAAACAATTCAAGTTTAGTAAATAATAACAGGATTATAAGGGATTTTAAATGTTGTAAAGTTTGGGAAAGTCAAATGTCTGTAGAAGGAATGAATGTAAACAAATAAAAGTCCTTGTGAATAAGTATTTTGATGCAAGAAAGTTAAGTTTGAATTTTTTTTTATCAATTCATCCCAAGCAAAGTGATAATGCCACTAAGATGCAAGAAGCTAATGGGAGTGAAAGAGAATGAGAAGAATTTAGGAGAAGGAACTGGAAACCCAATCCTAAACAGGAAACAAGAGATAAACCTCTATTCCTATTCAGTAGATGGGAAAGGAGTGTGAACTGAGTGATAAGTAAACCTATTTACTCATATAGAGAGAAATTCAAGAGTAACTGATACTTACCTGTTGCAGCAGTAGTGTCTTGAGGGCCTTCATAGAATATTTCTATATGGTATCTTTGGAAGATGAATGACAATCCTTTGAAGTAATGCATCACCCGACTGGTAACCACTTACACATCATCACCTTGAGCAATTGCTGTTATGAGAAATGTCTCCCTCTCCCAATTGCTACAACACTAGTTCTTTGACTTGTCTATCCTCTTGTGTCCACTTTAAAGCTACTTAGTGTCTTTGAAAATTACAAAAACATTTTAAAATAAATCTGCACAGGACTAGCCAAAATTAGGTACCTCCATGAGATCGCTAAAAAAAAAAAAAAAGTATAGCATGATGAAAACAGCGCCAAATTTGATGAAAACAAAATTTTAACTAAACGTTTGTTGTTAAGAGGAAAGATCAAAATATTTTTAGGGTTTCTTTTTTTTTTTTTTTTTCTTTTCTTATACAGTTTTTAATCGTTCTTAGCATGTCCGAAATTTTCGTTAAAAAATTTTTTTTTTTGAGTCAGCAAAATTGACACATAATCAATCATGTCAACCATTTTTTTCCATTTTATAAAAAAAAAAAATCTCAGTTTCAAATTCTTTTAAAAATCAATTATGACTTTTTTCAAAATTTATTTTAAGAAAATTAGAAATTATAATGTTTATTTAAAATATTTTGAAACAAGCATTACTTAGTTTCTGCGCTGAAAAGAAGTAGTTTCAAAATATTTTAAATAAATAAACAAAGCAGGTCATAACATTTCATGTCACTTGACAGGTGATGAGTGATGATTTCATCACGTATTGACAGCTTACATGAGGAAAAGTTATCATACAGGAGGACAGAAGTGATATAATTATTTAGATTTAAATGAAAAAATTATTTACCTCATTATTTTCAAGGAAAACTTTCAGTCCTTTTTTTGTACTTAGCTTTCACCTTTATGTTTACAATGCTTTATAGAAAATATATTATAAAAAAAATTAAAATAAGACTGTTGAGGGTGAGATTAAATTTCATAAGAAAAGTATCTAATTTATCGGTACCTTTCTTCTGAAATTTTATCAGAAGTGTACATAAAATACTATAATTTTAGGTACACTTATTACATTTGACTGTGTTCCATTTCCATTCATTTTATTATTAATTTTGATATTCATTATGAAAAAATGTCATAACTGAGATTAATATAAAAATAAGATCATATAAATTTCATAAGATGATACTGATACTTGTAGGTACCTTTCTCAGTTGAAATTGAAAAATCAAAATAACTTCTCCACACGTGTTTTGCAAAAATAAAGTCCATAACGGCGAAGAACAATGCTTAACTCCAATAACGCAACTTAATTGTATTCTTGCTGGTCTTCCGTACTTTTTAATTACAGCCATTTATAAACACAAAATTACATAATTACTGTGGATCTTCTGATTGGTCGAAGTGATAGAAATTACAATGCATGTCTCATAATGCCATTTACGAAACTGGATGCAGCTTTTAACTAATTTTATAATATTTCAACAACTTAAATGTAAAAATCTATTATAATTAAAGATATAATAAATAACTGTATTAAAAATTAATTTTTCATCAAAAAAGTTTTTTGCTTTCAGAAAATATTGTCCATATTCATAAAAAGAACTAAAAGCAAATAAAAGCATTTGAAATTAAATATTTTTGTTTTATTGAGTTTTGTATGTTACAATTCAGAGCTGATTTTCAGGTAGGTGGGGATCCAATTTTAAAAAAAAAAAAAAAATGATTTGCTTTCCTCAAAGCCTTATATGATCACTAAACTGAACAATGCTGATTTTCTAGAGTTTTCATAAATTAGTTGGGTGGGGGGGGATATTAAAAATTATTTTTGCCATGTCTTTAAAAAAATGAAAATATATTTGATAATTTCCATGATTTGTGAATAGTTTCTGAAAGTTACGTTAATATCCGACAATTATTTCTATTTTTGCAAGATTTTCCAAATTGTCTGTCTGTCATACAAAAAAAAAAAAAAACATGCTAAAAATCGTATGTTATTTAGCAGTTCCAGTGATATAAAGAGAAACAAGGTTTTTTTAATCAAAATTTAGAAGGATAAATTTTAAAAAATACTTGGTCTTTCCTCTTAATAAAATAAATATTTAGACGATAAAATTTAAATTTTGTTTTTGTCAAGTTTGGTGTCTTTTTCATCATGCTATGCTCAGGTAACTAGCCAAAATCTTTCTTAGGGAAAACTGAATTAAAATGTAATTAATTTAAAAAAAAAAAAAAAAAAAACTTTCATTCTTAAATTTTTCAGTTAATGTTACATTGTTAATAACATTACAGCAACATAGTTATTAAGTTTTGAAATAGTAAATAAGGAATTTGAAAGAATACCAAATGATTAATGGTTATTATTGTGTTTTGGATTTACAATTCCATGATCATAGAAAATTGGTCCCTTATTCTTACCTGCTCATTCTTATTCTGTCACTTGGTATCTGCTTGAATTCATTGTTAGGCTGCTATTGTAGAAAAAAATAGAGAAAGTTTCAAGAAAATATTTACATGTCTTCTCTAAACCTTTCTCATTTTTTTCTTTATAGCCTAGAGAACCTTTAGATTTTATTTTTTTTTTAATGCTAATTGCTGACTAAACAGTATTTCTAAGAAATCTATATTCATGCAAATTGATGATATTGTGGTTACTGATGCTTATTTCTACATTTTCATTATATTAGTCTTGATAAAAATCTGTACTTGTCAACGTAAAGAATTGAATAAATTTTTATTCATAATATTAATTCTTTTAGTGAAATCAGAATATTATATGCTTGATCTCAAAGAAATGTTTTTTTATTGTGTATTTCTAAAGTAAGATATTAAAATTATATTTCAAAACTTGTAATTATATTGTATTTACCAAAGCAATAAAATGTACAAAACTGAAATATATAAAGGTGTCAATAAGTACAATATTGAAAATTATGTCGGCACTTTTACTATATAAGTTAATTATCTGTTTCAATTATTTCTGCATTTGCTTAAAAAAATAATAAAGTACACCTTTGACCTGACAATTTATCAGTTGTCAAAATTTGTCAGTTTTCTTTTCTCAAAATTCAATTAATACAATGACAGGAAATAGTTTTTTTTTTATGCTGTGAGAATCAGTCAGTTTAACCTGATTCTTATTATATTTCTTCTATTTGGTTTATAATATTTCTTTTAGGTTGCATAAAAATATGACACATTAAAATATTTCCAGGACAATATGAATAAACCATACAAATGAATCTGCCAAATCTTTTTTTTTTCCTAAATGTATTAGACATCTAATAAGCATTTTTGTATATATTTATCTTTGTTTATATTTTCTTAATTTATTTTATAGTTTAACAGTTGTGGTTATTTTTCCCTGATTTTCTTTTTCTATTACACAGATTCGTCTAGCAATTCAAATGAAGCTAGTCCAAATGCCTCTAATGCCTCACTCAATAATTCATCTGCCTCACCTGTTACAAAACGGCGCAGCAGTTTCCGGTAAGTAGTCTCTTCTAAACAATAAGGCCAATAACAACAACCACCACCATGTGATAATACCAAATGTTGAAAGAACTTGAAGAGGGAATAATGTTATTTTCTTCATACCAAACATTTCCTAATTTAACTATCCTGAATTTTGAAATTTAGAATGAAACATATTTTCTTGTTTGCATATATTATGAAACAGTTTGCTTTATAATTGATTTCTTTTAAATGTTGAACATCTACATCTACTTACCACAGATTCATTATCTTTTACCTTAAACTCTTGGAAATATTTATCATTGGGATTTCAGGTTGTTTTTATAATAGCAGCAATATTCCTAGCATAGCTATAAAATAATACTTTAATTAAAAAATGTCATTAACATTTATATACAAATATAAAATTATTGTACAAATAAAATGGGATCAGCTAGAAGAGATTAAGTATCACTCACATAGATATACATATTTTATGTTGTTTTCCATGTCAAAAATATTGAAGATATACAAATCTATATATCAGACTAATAGTACGCAATTGAATGACAAAATGAAAATTAGTCCTTCATATATTAAAAACTTCCAGAGACCTTTTTAAAATACTAAAAGACATAAATATGACAGATAAACTCATCACTAGTTTAGATATTAAATCTTTATACACTAATATACTTGTCCACAAATCTCTTTAAAAACATCTAGTACAATCAAGAGTACTAACCTCTCCCCACTGATAGATAAAATTATAAAGATTTGCCAACAGTTATTTCAATAATTTTTGTCAATAAAAATTCAGATTACTGATAGGATCACTTCTTAATGAGGTTTCAGTTTTTTTTATTTTGTTTTAGAAAGTGGTCCCTTCTAATATATTTTGCCTAAACCATCAACACATTTCATGTACAATATGAGACAATAACCGAATTAAAATGAAAATAACAATCTTGATAAAACTAGGCATATAATGTTATCTGCAACTCAGCAATACATTTTTTGGAAAAAAAAAAAAAAAGCACCTGTTAGGGTCCCAGTTATGAGAAAATAGTTAACCCCCAAACTTGCATCAAAACACTATGAAACTGTAAAAATAGGTTTTAATACCAGGAATACATTTTTGAAGGAAAAAAAAAAAAGATACATAGGTAAAATATTTAGGAATTTAAATGAAAAATTCTGTGAACTCAAAAGGAATCTATTACAGAACAATACTCAATTCATTAGTCATGATAGGGTTTGATCGAAATTTTGATTTAAATAATGCTGTTATAATTAAGAGAGTAATTTATTAAGGTGAGAATATAGTGAAAAATGCATTAATTTCGGCATCCTCTTTGGTAAGTTTTTGTTCAAGATCATATTTACTCCTTTTACAATGTGTGATATTTAAAGACAAAAGTGAGAAAAAGCTGAATGAAGTCTAAGCTATGTGTCTAAATATATCGGACACCAAAAGTTTAAAGTTATGTATCTCTGTTTCTTCAGTGTTTCTTGATTTTAGAATTGTAACCGACATTTATTATATTTCTTTCCTCCTCTACTACTACTACTCTCTCACACACACACACACACACACACACACACACATACATAAAGCCATTATTAGTCTGAAGAAATCTTTTTGAGATGAAATGTGTAGTATAGGTGCTACTTCCTGTTTTGTCATTCAGTTACCCACATTTCTAAGAGGAAAAATTATTACTGTTAGTGTTTTTTCTCAGAGTATTGTATCTCACCATTTGTTATAACAGTAATTAAGAAACTATCAGGAGATACTAAAAAAATGTCTCCTATTTATTTCCAGGAAAATTACAGCAAATACCAGAAACACAATAACACTATATCATAGAGGAGCTACAGAAATACTATTTTTCTAAGGTCACCACAATTAGCTATGCATTTTTGAAGGGATCTTCATTTTCTGGGTCACCTGTTAGGGTCCCAGCTATGAGCTTGTCACACTCATTTTTACCACTGCTAAAACATTACTTACTACCTATGCTTACATCCCCTGCTTGGTTTGTGTAAACATTCAACAAGTGTCAATGAATATTGGTGGGTGCAATTTTTTCTGTATGGAGAAATTCAGTGATACACACTTTCATGTTGGACACCATTTTGCCAGACTTCTATTTATAACAAGACAAAATGTGTTACTAGTAGACAGGCATGTTTCTCTATTGTCATATAACCAAGACCTCTGCCATAGTGGACCTACATAACAAATAGGAGGCATTACTTTCAGAGTAAACATTGTATATAATTTAATTTTGCAGTCTTCTAAAATAATTATTAAAGTCACTGATGTTAATATAAAAATCATAAAATTTACTGTGGCTAATGTTCAAAAGTTATAACAATTTTAATTTTCTGCATATTTAAAATATAAGGAATATGTTGAATATTCCTTATATTTTAAATATGCAGAAACTTAAAATTGTTATAACTTTTGAACATTAGCCACATTAGATAATAAAAAATTTACTTTTTTTTTTAGTAAAAAAAATGCAATTCTGCTTCTTGGCATTTTTAAAATATCCAGCTAGTTTTGAATCTCATATCAGTGTAGAAGCTGCTATGTATTTCAATTTCTCTTTAAAGGAATGACAGATTTTGTTTTAAGCTTTTTAATCTGTTTCACAGAAAAGATTGAGAAAACTGATCTTTCCATAATTTTGTGGAGCAAATTTTTCTTTTCTTTATTTTCAGTATTTTTGCTTTGTAAATTTTAATACTTTTTTGTAACACCTCTAATTTTTTTCTTCAATCGAATGTATACACATATATCAATAGTTTTATTTATCAGTAGTTGTCAATATTTTGATTATACAACTAATTTTAGCATAGATTATTTTGTCAACATCAGTTAGATATTTCTTAGATTTTCTATCTTTTGGAAGTGTTTCATCATGCAAAAAATTGAATTTGAATTTTTGTAATTTTTCTCATTTATTCTATTTTATTTTGTTAATGTCTTTACTTTACTTCTAACGTCTCTTCTTTGTCTATTTTTCAAATTAGGTATGAATTTATAATTTTCTGATTATCAACCAAAATGAAGTGAAAAATAATTTCCAAACACCTGGCATGATTTTAGATTTTTTCTTTCTTTTGTTTTTCTTTATTTTTCTATACAAATGTAGCTTAGGTCCTGTTTGTTTGTATTTTGTTATTTTTAGCATGATTTTTGTATAGTCTTTTTTTTAATTTGGTCATTATTCCTTGAATAGGATGCCAAAATTCAAAACAAGGACCATTCCCAACACTGCAAAACCTACAAGGTATGAAAATAACTTTATCACAATTTCAGACAGGATAGTGCTCACTTGCAGTATAATGTTTGGTAGACTTCACCATAGAAATTGTGTGGTATGGTGTGGAGATAGCTGCAGTTAATATTGACAAATCTTAACTTTTGTAGCTTAAAACTAATGACAAAGAACTAGAATTCAGAACTATTATAATTCTGATAATTTTCAACACCATTTTTTAATATTTGCCAATCAATTCACCACACTTTTTCAAAACACATCAGCATTGAAAAAATAAAAGTATAATAAATCATAATTAAAATTATCTAAAAATTTTATTTGAATATAGTTTTAAGTAAACCTGAATGATTGAAGTCTCTTCAATACTATTTCGTATCAAATATTATTATTAAATTATAGTTTAATATAAATAATTAGATATTAAGTAATATTTAATTTATTGATATTACTGCTTTAATTTTGCAAATATTACATTTATAATGAATAGTAAAAATTTCTGTTTAAGTTTATATAATATATTGGGTTGGTGAAAAGTTTGGTTTATTAAGTAAAAATAAAAATGTCTTTATTTTTACTATTGAATTTATTTGACAATATATTTTTGTTTCATTCTCCTGTCATATTTCAGCAAATGACGACTCTAAATGACTTTTGCAGTCTTCCAGGGAACTGAATTTTTTTTTTTTTTTTTACATTTAGAGAATTTAGTAAAGACTAGAATAAATGATAATTCAAAGTTGCAATACTTGGTGAATATGATGCATGAGGGAAAACTTCCCAGATAAGCTGTAACAATTTTTGTTTGGCCACTAAATAAACATGCAGTCTAGTATTAGAATGCTTTGAGTGCAACTTCAGTAGGCCTAATTAGGAACAGTACTTGTTTGAATTGTTTGCTTCTGTCGAGTTCATAGTAGTGCTCCTATTTTGGGGTTAAAAATTGACCTTTGGTATGGTTAATGGTGGTTCATTCACTTGCCATACTCCTGGTTGTAAAGTATCCACTTTTTATCACCTGTCATGATTTGTTGAAAAAAATAGAAAAATTTAATTATGTCTTAATTGCACATAGGAATACAGTCTTCTAGTTTTTCTACCACAGAAACCACACATAAAAGCAAGTTAGTAAGGAGGATTTTCATATGATTTTTCAGATTTGGGTATTTTGAATATGTTGGCTGCCTCCTGCATCATATAATGTTGATTATTCTCTATTAATGTTTCAACCTTAATGAGGCTATCTATCCATAAAGTATTGCTCAGTGAGAAACCTCCAGCATAAAATTTCACAAACTCTTTTTAAGTCATTCAATCATTGATACTGCTTTCTTCATTTACTCACTTTTATTTTTTGCATTTGTATTGCATTTTAAAATATAAAAAGCAGCATAATATACCAAAAATGTTGCTTATTTTCTGTCTTTAGTGGTAGAATCAATAAAATTTGCACTAATTTCAGAACTTTTTTTTTTTTTTTTTAACTTTTATTTTTGCTAATATGACAGCTGTTACAATGCAGTCAATGAATTTAGTTCAAATTCAATGCTTCTAATTTCATTTAATGACAAACACAACAGACTTTTGAACCAACCCAATAGAAACTGAAAAGAATTCTTTGCTTACATAACTTATATTAAAATATTGATGCTTAGTTAAACCAGATACAGATAGTTACAGTAATATATTGCTAAAAAGTTGTGTGTGTGTATATATATATATATATATATATATATATATATATAGATATATATATATATATATAGAGAGAGAGAGAGTTTTTTTTTCTCTTGTATAAAATAATTTTTTTATCCCAGTCTTATGATTGTATTTAATCTAAAACCCATCATGAAGAATTATTTTATATAGGTTGCAAGCTGATATAATTTTATAAAAAATGCCTATAAAATATTGGTCCCTTTTTTTTTTTTTTTTTTTTTTTTTTTCTTACTTGTACTTTCAGAATATAGGCAGTCATAGTTTTATTATAGCCTTTTCATTCACATTTTCTGTGTAAAGGTTCATTCAAAATACTCAGCCTATTTTATTTTTGTAGAAATCAGGACTTAGCAATTAGTCTATCATTTCATTGTTCTAAAAATTGAGGCTTAAATTTCAGCATTGATATTAATATAACTGCAGTTTTGACATATGAAATTTTTAAATAGACTTAACTATTATATACAAAAAGTATCTCTTCATATTCTGTCAGTTAATGCTACAAATCTGTTTTTATCATTTTATAGCTTTGCCTTACAAATGCAACTTATAAATAAGGGGAGGCTGAAAGGTTATTAGCCTGGGTCTAAAATTTAGCATCAACTTTTTTTTATTTTAGGGTTTATTGTTTGAGCCAATAACTTTTCAGCCTCCCTCCACGCACACACACACACACATATATATATATATATATATATATATATATATAAACTTGCAACAAAACTATACTAAAAAAAGAAAAAAATCATAGATGACCAATTTTTCTTCAACTTTTTAGTTGAACCTAATAGTTTAATCAATTTAAAAAAAAATAGCAAAATGGCTATTTTTATTCATTCATCGCCTAAATGCAAATCTTTTACATTAATTTTACTATAAGTTTAAGGCATTAACATAATTTTTATATTTAATTCTATTGCAATTAAATTTTTAATGCTAAAAACCATTCCTGACTCGATCACAGATGTTCCTTGAAATTCATTATTTTCAAATGCTCCAAGTACATATCTTGCTTATTAATTATAGACATTTTATCTCTTGCTTTAAATTTACAAGTAAAAATTTATAATAGTATTATTTGACCAATTAACTCAAAAGAGAAACTAATTACCAAACATGTTTTTATTCTATGATATGAGTCATAGACATTTAGTTTTTTTTTAATCTGTTTCCTATGTGAGGCAATAATGCAAACTATCTGGTGTTTATTTAATTTCATATATAACTTGTATTTGTTCTTTTAGCCATTTTTACATTGATGATTGCTTTTTCCTGTGAAATTTTGTCATAAAATAATTGGAAGTGCTTTGTCAGATTTTAGTCTTAGAAAATTTTAAATATAAGTTAATGTCATTTTTTTTTTTTTTTTTTTTTTTTCTCTGCTTTGACTAAATAGAAAATGGCTAATTGATCCTGTTCGGAAACTGAGCCATAGCAAGATAGAAAAAGGAGGACTGGAAAAACATGCTGTGCCACCATTTGAACTGAAACCTGAACGCATAACCAAGAAGACTGTTGCAAATCTCTCTGCTATGAAGGTAAGGCACATTTTTGTCAATTTTGTCTTTCATTTGAGAAATTTCAATCATATCCTATTACCAATGTAAGGTGAGTAACTTGTAAACAAATCATTGATATAGTTTTATCATAGACTGGTTGTCAAGGACAGAAACCTACTTTTCAATAGGTTAAAATAGATTTACTGTTCATGATAAAAGCACTTTTTTTTATATATGGCATTTTTGAGTATTCTTCTGTGTCGTGTCTCTTCAGGATGTGGGCAACCATGGTTCTCTGTAACTTACTATCTTATGTATTTCTTAATAAGGTTTGTCTTTTTGCTATCCCTCCTAATTCTTGTTCTGCCAAAAAAATTTATACAAGCTCTTTAGGTAGGTTACTTGCTGCTTTCCAAGCCTGTTTTCCTCATATGCCTTAGTTATTTCAACTGTCTCTTTCTGATTCTAAATATAAATCTCCTTGTTTCTATTTTCCTTAAAACTTTGTTAGTCATATGTTCAATGAGTGGGATTCTTAGTATCTTTCTGTATATATCTCTTGGAAATTTGGATCCTTCAGGAGTCTTGTATTGCAATTTTGGTGCTATCTTGGCTCTCTTCAACTTTTGTAGTTTCAATCTAAGATTGCATGTCACTGGAAGGTGGTTGCTCCTATAGTTGGGTATATTTTTACAGTATAAAACTGCATTCCTGCATCTCTTATTGCTCATTATGTAGTCTATATTGTTTTTCTCCTGGACTTCTCCATCTCCATAAGCATCTTGGATGTTCTTGAAATCACATGTTGTATAATACTTGCTCATTTGCTGTGCACTACTGGGACCTGTGTTTCTCTATGTTCATTCCATCAACTCACACCTTCTCTACTTTGGCATTTAAGCCTCTCATGACAATTGTAATTTCCTGTGATTCGCATTGAGCTTTGTCATTGTTAAGTGTGTAGTAAAACTTTTCAACTTCCTCTTTTGTGCTTTGTGCTGTCACTGCATATTTAACTACAATGGATACATTGTCTTCCTTTTCAGTTTAACTATAAGAATCCTATCAGAGAATTGACAGTCTTCTAGAACACATTTCTTCATGTTTTGGTCTCATATTAGTCTTACTCTCTCTCTCTCTCATTTTTCTCTCCACCTGCATATATGATCCTGTGTCTGTCACTAATGAAATCTGTTATTTGCCCACCTAGTTTCACATATGCCTAAAATATTAATATTTAGCCTATTTATTTCCTACTTTATATTTTCTAACTACCCACATTCATTTAGTGTTCTGATTTCCATGACCCTAAAACTATTTTTTGTTTGATGCAAGCAGTTGATGGAGGATTGTCTGGTGACACCTGTTACTTGTGTCTTTCCTTACCAGATGAGGGATCCAATTCCAAGGAGTTTGACCCCCCCCCCCCTGCTATTATTTTTTATATTAGTTTTGCTTGCAGTAGCTAAATGACTGTCAGGTGACACCTGTTGCACATGTATCTCCTTACCAGTTGAGGAATTAATCCCAATGAACTTAACCTCCTGCACACCATTATCTTTGATAACATTGTCAATAGCCATGAATGATAGTGGAGTGGTTTCCTATTGCCTTCTCCACTATACATTTATTAAGACACCATATTTAGTTAGCTGGCCATTGACTCAATAGTTCTTCTAACCTTTTGATAGGTTTTATTTTTCATCTTACAGGATTGCTAGCCACCCTCTCCTAACTTGCAATAAATTGGTGTAGATGAGCTGGTTTAATCACTGAAATTTCTATTAGATACATAGACTACACACAACTCAATTTTGCATTCCTTATTGCTACAATATACTCAGCTTTTGACCTATTTCTTTTGGAAAACCTTTTGAATTACCTTTTGCTATATTTTCTAATATAGGCTGTCATTAATTTTTGGCTAAAATTGATAATATTCATTAAGTTTATCCAGAGTTGTTTCACTTTTTAAAATTTTATTCTCACTGCCTTTGAGAAAATAGAAAGAAACAGCAAAAACCAAAAATAAAATAATGTGAATTGGAATTTTTATGAATACTACACAACTTTAGAAAGACAATTTTTCCTTTAAAAGAAACTCGTCCCAGAAATTCAGACAGAATTTTTCTTCTAAAGTTCTTTAATATTTTGAAAAAATCTAATTTTCCCTCTTCTATCTCCAGCACTTATTCAAAAGGAACTTTTGATTTGAACTTGTTTCCAGTTTCCTGCTATAATACTAAATTAACATTTTAATTTTTAATATCCTTGATTATATTGAGTTTTAATCAATTTTTTATTCAAAATTCCTTTTATCATTCTTTCTTTCATTTGTTTTTCTTCTTTCTTTCATTTGTTTTTCTTCATTCTTTCTTTCATTTGTTTTTCTTCATTCTTTTTTTCATTTGTTTTTGTTTTTTTCTTCATTCTTTTCTTGTTTTCTTTCATTTGTTTTTCTTCATTCATTCTTTCATTTGTTTTTCTTCATTCATTCTTTCATTTGTTTTTCTTCATTCATTCTTTCATTTGTTTTTCTTCATTCATTCTTTCATTTGTTTTTCTTCATTCATTCTTTCATTTGTTTTTCTTCATTCATTCTTTCATTTGTTTTTCTTCATTCATTCATTCATTTTGTTTTTCTTCATTCATTTTTTTTTTTTCTTCATTCATTCTTTCATTTGTTTTTCTCTTCATTCATTCTTTTTCATTTGTTTTTCTTCATTCATTTGTTTTTTTTCATTTTTTTTTTTTTCTTCATTCATTCTTTTCATTTGTTTTTCTTCATTCATTTTTTTTTTTTTCTCATTCATTCTTTCATTTGTTTTTCTTCATTCATTCTTTCATTTGTTTTTCTTCATTCATTCTTTCATTTGTTTTCTTCATTCATTCTTTCATTTGTTTTTTCTTCATTCTTTTCATTTTTTTTCTTCATTTTTCTTTTGTTTTTTTTCTTCATTCATTCTTTCATTTGTTTTTCTTCATTCATTCTTTCATTTGTTTTTCTTCATTCATTCTTTCATTTGTTTTTTCTTTTCATTTTTCATTTGTTTTTCTTCATTCATTCTTTTCATTTGTTTTTCTTCATTCATTCTTTCATTCATTTTCTTTCATTTGTTTTTTTTCATTCATTCTTTGTTTTTTCTTTTCATTTTTTCATTTGTTTTTCTTCATTCATTCTTTCATTTGTTTTTCTTCATTCATTCTTTTTCATTTGTTTTTTCTTCATTCTTTCATTTGTTTTCTTCATTCATTCTTTCATTTGTTTTCTTCATTCATTCTTTCATTTGTTTTTCTTCATTCATTCTTTCATTTGTTTTTTCTTCATTCATTCTTTTCATTTGTTTTTCTTTCATTCATTCTTTCATTTGTTTTTTCTCATTCATTCTTTCATTTGTTTTTCTTCATTCATTCTTTCATTTGTTTTTCTTCATTCATTCTTTCATTTGTTTTTCTTCATTCATTCTTTCATTTGTTTTTCTTCATTCTTTTTTTCTTTGTGAGATTTTGATACTTGAATCTTATATATCATTAGAAAAACAAACGTCCACATGTGCTTCTTATAATATGTAAAATAAAATAGGTTAGTTAATAAACAAGAATAAATGAAAAGGTACCAGTATAATTAGTACAATAAACATTTATTAAATATTAATTATTAACCATATGACAGAAATGAAGCACAGAGAGAAAGGTTTTATAAGACTGAGAAATAAACAGACAAATAGGAATTACTCACTAACAGATGTTTTTGTAGATGGTGTATTTTCTGGTGGAAATTGTATTGTTAGCAAAAAACTGATCTCTGTCTGATTACTTGATGTGCAAAACTTTTTATGAAAATAAACATAAATTTTAAAATTTTTATTGGTATAAAAGCATTAGGCAGGTCTATTACTAGTGGAGTAGTGAGATTGTAAACATAGATGAAGAGTTATAAGTTGAGGAGTGGGGAAAGACGTCTCATGTGTCGCAAGTTGTAGCCAAAATTGACCAATTTGTCAAGTTTAGAAAGATGGGCTGTGGTTAGAATATGATGTGATAAAAAAAAAATTGAGGAGGGAAAATGGAATATATAATAATAAAATATTATTAAATGAAAAGAAAAAAGGGAAGGAACAAAAAATGGATAAAAATTTAGAAATCTATTGTTAACAAGAAAAGTGGGTACAAAAAATAAAGTAAAATAAAAAATATACACAAGCCACCACACAAACATGAATCTTAATACATGTAAAGATATAAATACATATACAAGATTAATATGTATCTACACTAACCTTTCCCATTCTTTAGATAAGCTTATATGTAAAGGAACCATAATAATAGAATCAATGATGGTATAAAAGACGGTGAAAAGTAGCCCTCAGTGTACAGTGTTACATTACTGAATAGTGCATCATAAGGGAAATCATAGGTAGTAGAACATAAAAAATACAGTAGGTAGGAGATGGCTGTTAAAAATATAGGAGGTAGGAGATGGCTGTGGTGATAGATTCTTTGATTATTTTGAGTGGGTAATTCCTATTAAGAAAGTGATTGCAAAGTTGTCTTATAATCTTCCTTGTGAGAACAGATGCATTTAATGCATATGTATTGGCTGTTTAGGTTGGTGGGGTGGCAGCTATTGAAATTAAGGTAGCAATGACCATCAGTAAGCTTGATGTATAGTGTAGTGGAGATGTGGTTGTAATTGAGACATACCAGTGTGTCCAGAAACAAAATGGAAGTGGTAGAATATTCCATAGTAAATATGATGGTATGGTGGAAATCATTAAGGTGGTTTTTTAAGGTTTAGGAGATTGTTCTCTCTCTGTGTCCATATGAAGATGACGTCTATGTATTTGTAGTAGTGTAGGGGTGCCAGGTGGTATCTACCAAACATATCTTGTTCAAGGGCATCCATGAAAATGTTAGCATAGCTGAGGGCCATTTTCATTCCCATTGCTGTGCCTCTAACTTGAAGAAAATGGTGCTTGTTGAACTGTTTATTTCTTGGTTCATTGATGGACACAGGTGTATCCGAAAATTCCGAACTT